TTTCCATTGGACCCTTGGTCTTTTCCTTGGGTATTTGTAGGAGCCTTTTATATATTAAGGTAATTTTTCTGTGATATGAATTACTTCCTTCAATCCTCATTCTAAAATGTAGGGACTATAATGTCCCTATTTTACTGAAGACGCAGATCTAGAGAGGCTAATTGATTTGATTTATTTCACATAGATAACAAGTGGCAGACTCAGGAGTCTATGGTATGCAGTTTAACTAAGAGCCTTCCTCATTGTTACCTGCTGTTCTACTTCCCAGTACATTGTAATCCATGAACAGCATGCTGCCTGAGGGCATAGAAAGTCTCCAACCTTTAAGAATCATTTACATACTATGCAAGGAATGATAGGTGATAAAGATGATTTAATATCAATAAAATTATTCTACTTGGAGTTTAAGGCAACTACATAGGTTATTAGAAGACAGAGTAAAATCTACCATAAGAGATAAACCGTGCCCTCAGAAGTTCAAAAGTTGTAGCAATTGGACAAATGCATTAAAAGTATAAAAACAAATTAAACCAACATTTCTAAAGTAGGCATTTGACATAGGCCTGGGATATAGATAAAGCTTTGACTTCTGAAAGATAATAAGGTGAGAGGAGTTGATGACTAGAACAGGAAGTCAATACCCTGAGCGAAGGCCAGAATTCGTAGGAGTTAGTTGATAGTTGAATAATGGGAGGGAAGAGAGCTGGAAAGCTCATTACTTGGAAGGCCTTGAAATCAGGTCAAGTTCATGGGAACATGAAATGTTTTGAACAGGAAAGTGATGTGATTCAGTCTACTAGAAGAATTAGTAGTCTGGTGCTATTTTCGATCTTAAGAGTGTGGAAGAGATTTAAGGGAGGCACAGGTAGTGGTTAACTTTATCAAAAGCTAAAGAATTAGATCTGCTTCAGAAGCCAGAATGTAAGACATCAATAATAATTAGGTAATACTTTTTCACTTTTGCATAGTATCCTATTACACTCCATAGAATCTTAAGTTGGAAGCTTTTTTCTATTCAGGCACTATTGAATTTCCTTTTTGTATGATGTCTTTTTAAACAAAATAAAACAAAACAAATTGTTTTTCACAGAGCCTTCTTCAAAAGGCACTGTGTTAGATCAGAAGACTTGAAGACATGGTTCCAAAATTCTCACTTTCTTTTCCTTTAAAATTAAAACCAAACCAGGATCACAAATATACTTCAACACCGAAGCCTTTATTACTCTCCTGGCCTGTCTCAGCCTTATTGATAATGCTGCTATAACACTGTGTTGGCTTTGCTTTCCTTCAGTTTGCCTCCTTTCTTAGAGGAAGTTTTAAATGACTTGGGTACTATTTATTGTGGCACCTTTTCCTCTCCCCTGAGGAGGGGTCTTCCTCAGCTGTTTCCCTCTGTAACCATAGCAACTGACAACTGTACCAGAGGGAGTTGTGTTCAGCTAAGGGCCAAATAGGAGGAGTGAAGACAGCACAAATCTTAATGGGGGGTTAGTTCCCTGCTTATATGCAGAAAAGGGCTGCAAGAAGATTCTGAAAAACATGGGACTGTCTCCTCATTAATGAATTCTATTACATTCTAGTACTATGCTAGGTACTGGTAGTAAGTAGGCCTGGTATTGGTCTCTCCAGCCCATGTGTGGAATCCTATCAGGGACTATGCAGGAACCCTCCTGTGGAAGCAAGGTGCAGTTTGCAGGGCCTGTGTACCTGGCGCACATCTGAGATTGTAAACAGTCAATGTTGTGTGCATGTGTATAAAGGCCATGTGTTTTATACCTTGTACAATTCTAATTTTATTTTTAAGGGAAAGGTAAGGTTTCTATGTCTTAACTTCATAATAATTTCTATCTATAATTTTCTTTATCTAAATGTTTATTTACTTATTTTGTAAAATATCAGTAATCATTTTGATTGGGTGATCCATGTATGTAGTACAACATTCAAAAGGTAGAAAGGATATAATATGGCATAAGTCTTCTTCCTATCTCTGCTTCTCTATTTCCCTCTCCAAAGGAGAATTGTTCCTGTATCTTTCTAGAAATACACTATGCCCGTGTGTGTGTGTGTGTGTGTGTGATTTTTTTCACCTCACAGTACACCTTGGCAGTTGTTCTGTATCAGGTCAAAGAGAGCCACCTCTTTCTTTTAAGTGGCTGAAAGGGACCTTAGAAAGCACCTACTCAAAGTTATTTATTTTTCAGGGGAGGAAAAAATTGAGTCCTATAGATATAAAATAACTGGTTAGGATTTTGCTTTGGAGTGAACTGACTTTTCATTGATGTGTACCTGGTCTTTTTTTATTAGATCAGTTTTAGGTTCACCATAAAATTAAATGTAGAGAATTCCCCCTACTTTCACACATGCACAACCTCCCTCATTATGAACATCCCCAGCCATAGTGGTCCATTTGTTAAAATTGATGAATGTACATTTACACATTATTATCACCCAAAGCCCATAACTTAAATTATGGTTTGCTGTTGGTGTTGTACATTCTGTAGGTTTTAACAAATGTATAATGACATGTATCCTTCATTATAATATTATACAGAGTAGTTTCATGTCCCTAAAAATACTCTGGGCTCTACCTACCTATTCATCCCTCTTCCCCTATGACTCCTGGCAGCCACTGTTTTTTTCACTGTCTCCATAGTTTTGCCTTTTCCAGAATGTCTTGAAATTAGCAGTATGTAGCCTTTTCAGATAGGCTTCCTTCACTTAGTAATATACTTTAAGTGTCCTCCATGTCTTTTCATGGCGTGATAGCTCATACCTTTTTAGTGCTGAATAATATTTCGTTGTCTGGATGTACCACAGTTTATTTACTCACAGAAGGACATTTTTGTTGTTTCCTGGTTTGGGCAATTATGAGTAAGGCCGCTACAAACATTCATGCACATTTTTTTTGTGTAGAGGTAAAGACAACTCCTTTATTAATAAGCACCAAGGAGTGCAATTGCTGGATCATATGATAAGAGTATGTTTAGTTTTGTGATAAACTGGCAAACTGTCTTTCACAGTGGCTGTATAATTTTGCATTTCCACCAGTAATGAATGAAAGTTCCTATTGTTCCATATCCTCTCCAACATTTGGTGTTGTCAGTCTTCAGAATTTTGACCTTTTAATAGATGTGTAGTGGTATCTTATTGTTTTAATTGCATTTCCCTGGTGACATTAGATGCGGATCCTCTTTTCATGTGCTTACTTTTCATTTACATATCTGTATTCTTTGGTGAGGTTTTTGTTCATGTCTTTGGCCCAGTTTTTAATTGAGTTGTTTGTTTTCTTACTGAGTTTTAAGAGTTCTTTGTATATTTTGGATAACAGTCCTTTATCAGATAGGCGTGTCTTTTGCAAACACTTTCTCTCAACCTGTGGCTTGTCTTTTTGTTCTTTTGATAATTGGTTTTTAAAAAATAATTTTTACTCAGATCTCTTGATTTTTTTTTTTTTAACTCAAGACTTTGGTTCATCTTTAGGTTTATGGTCTCCACCATTCTTACACTTTTGATGTTTAAATGTTTAGATGTTTCTGGACATGTTACTTTATTTATATAGATGGCAAATTGATTCTTAGAACCACATCCAGCCACTCATACCTCTGACAATACCTCTGATATTTGATAAGGTAGAGTCTAAGCACTTATATATGATTTCTTTATAGTCCATATTTCATTTGGTAGTTTGAGATAGTGATTTTTTTCTTTTCCCCATTGCAGAAACATACCTTTTAATGTTGAGCTTTTAAATATACTGTTTTGATTATAAGACCATTGTTCTTTCTCTTTACTTCCAACTGGTACGTCTAGCACTTTCTTTCATTTATTTTGCATCTCTTACGTATGTTTTGAGTATGAACACTTCTCCACCCCAATGTGCTGCTTTTTTTTTTTAATCCTCACCCAAGGACACTTTAGCATTTATCTTCAGATAGAGCGGGAGGGAGAGAGGGGGGAAGAGAGAGAGAGACATCGACATACGAGAGACATCAACTGGCTGCCACCCAAACAACCCCAACCGGGTCCGGGGACAAACTGAAACTGAGATATGTGTCTCTAGCAGGAACCGAACTTGATGCTCTAACCACTGTGCCAGACCGGCCAGGGCCCAGTGTGCTGCTTTTTAAAGTTAAAACATCATAGGCCTTCATTTCTTGAACATTTGACAATTATAATTTATTTCCCTTTTCTGTGCACAGTGCATTATCACAGGGAGGTTCATAATTTAAATCTATTGACATGAGACCACATGATGTGCCATTTGGCCCATGCAATAAAGAGAAACATCTTTTTGTATGATCATGTTTGAGCAAATTATGTTATGCACTGGTGTGTATAACACCAGTATATCTTTTATACATGATATATAGTTTTATATTTATGTATAGGCCCTTTGCAGCCAACTGCCCAAGGTTGTGGTTTAAGGAATGCAATTGATATAGATGGAACACACCAAATACCTGAAGCAGAAAAACAAAACTAGTTTAATCATTTGGCTTCAGAATAGCTAGTCAAGAAAGCTGCTTCTCAAGGGCCTTTATGTAGATATGAACGTTTGAGGACTGGGTAATTTCTGCTGTCCCTCAGTGGAACAGTGGACTGGGGAGATCTGAGGGGCTTTTAATCGTCTTGGATGAAAACAAAAAAAGTGTTTTCATCTCTGTGTCTTTCATTGTAGGGGATTTGTGGATAACTTAGTATAGGTTCCAAATTCTTGACCTATCTCATTTACTAAACCAAGCAAGGGAGAGATGGGCACTAAAAGACAAAGTTTCTTCTGATTTATTTTTCTGATATTAAATGTACACAGTAGGTAGAGGTAATTTTAAAGGCTTATAGGGAAAGACACCATTCTTTAATTCTTCTCTTGTTTGGATGAATTGAGTAAAATCATGTCTTTTGTTATAAGGAATCTATTATTCTTTGCTCTCCTAAATCTTTCATACACATAAACACCACCACTGCCACTACTAAAAAGCTGTACCTTTTTTTTTTTCTAGTAGAGATGAAGATGATATCAATGATGTGACTTTGATGGCAGGGGTGAACCTCAGTGAAGAAAATTCCTGCATCTTAGCAACAACCTCTGAATTGGTTGGCACACTCGTTCAATCATGTAAAGATGAACCATTTCTTTTCACTGGAGCTCTACAGAAGAGGATTTTAGACATTGGTAAGTGACTGCTTACTGTTACTGACCTGTTAGGGCTACCTGTTTCAGGGAAAATATTATCAAGAAATAGGCATGGTTCAAGCAGAAAAAGACAAATACCACATGATCTCACTTATTTATGGAATATAATGAACATAATAGCCTGAGGAATAGGGTAGACCCAGAGACGTGGAAGTAGGGTACAGACCTACTCATAAGAGGGGGTGGTGGGAGGAGGGAAGAAATAAACCACAGAACTTATAGGCATGTATGCATAACCAATGGACATGGACAACAAAACCGGGGACAGGGTCGGGGAGATGGGGAGGAGGGTGTCAATGGGAAAAAAGGAGAAACATCTGTAACAAAAATAAATTAATAAAAAAGAAGGAAGGAAGGAAGGAAGGGAGGGAGGGAGGGAGGGAGGGAGAGGGAAGGAAGGAAGGAAGGAAGGAAGGAAGGAAGGAAGGGAGGAGGGAAGGAAGGAAGGAAGGAAGGAGGGAGGAAGGAAGGAAGGAAGGAAGGAAGGAAGGGAGGGAGGGGAGGGAGGGAGGGAGGAAGGGGCATGGTTGATTTTCTTGGAGCTCTGAGGCTTACGTAAGACTCTGGAAATTCTTAAGATTTCATGAGTGTTACAGAAAAAAGTATTTTATTTAAAAAAACAATTAACATAAATTTTATAACCTGTGATTTCCGGTTTAGGTAATAGAAGTTAATATTTTATTTATATTTCTTAATATTTTTATGTGAATATATACATATAATATACTTTTTCTCTGTCCTGTTTCTTTCTTGGTTTGCCTTGAGGCATGTGTATGTATAGGTGCACACTTAAGTTACAAGTTTGTGTTCATGAAATAAAAATAGCTATTGAGAGTAATTCCCCTTTTCCTCATTTTTAACCCTGAAATTCAAACCAACCTTTGCTTTAAAAGAACTAAATTAGAATTATTAGAGTCCTTTTTAGGTCCAGTAGTTGTCAGGTGGCTACAGTATGAGAAAGGAAATTAAAGAGAACATATTAGCTTTATTCTGGAGCTGAAACAGCTTTTTTGTTGTTTAATTACCAAACTTGCATTAATGTGAAAGACTACAATCTCCTCAACTTAACTGAAAAAAAGAGACAGATTGGAGAGATATTGTGTATGGAACTTATCTCATTTCTTGAGTCCTGCCCCTAGGACTTATTGAAGAGGTCTCCTTCAATCATGTTGAATTTGAGTATACGTGAGTAGGAACCATTACATTTTATATTGAGGGTATAACACCAAAATATGAATGTTTCTGATTTTTGACACACCCATGGTATATTTAAGGACCACAAAGTGTATCACTATTACATATTTTACTTTTACTTTACAAAATACTCAGTAAAGAAATGTTTGAGCTTCTACTATATGCTATACAAATTACTACTTTTTTAATCTCTAATTTAAATTGGTTGTATATTATCATCCTTTTATCATGAAAAGCTAGCATTTACAAGTAGTCCAAAGGATAGGAATTCAGAAGAGCTGATTGTAAATGTTTATTTTCTGTTTGCTTGTGTTTTGTTTGACTTCTCTCTTCTCTACCCCTACTTTCTCTTCTTCTCTCTGTCTCTTGTTTTCTTCTTTTTGTATGTATTTTGTACTGTACAGGAGCCCGTTCTTTAATTTTGGGAGAAGCTTAAGCACTATAAGTTTCTGTGACAACTTGGGAAATTTTCCAGTATTTGAACTCCTCATAGCCCCATAATTATCTAAAGCTTTGGTAGAGTATAAGTAGATACTTAATTTTATCAATTCCCTGCCCCTATTACATATTTTATTTCTAGCTTGATTTAAGCCTTGATTATAAGATAGGAAACTTTTTAGAATTGAAAGAGCATTTTGATCCTTTAGGACAGGGATGGGCAATTTTTTTTTTTGCAAAGGGCCAGACAGTAAATATTTGCCACTTTGTGGGCCATGTGGTCTGTGTCACAACTGTTCAACTCTGCTGCTATTACAAAAGCAGCTGTTGACACTATGTGAACAAATAGGCAATAGTGTATTCTCATCAAACTTTTACACAAGAGACCACATTTAGTTTGCAGCCTCTGTCTTCTAGGAGGGTTCTGGAGACAACTATTTGTATTTTCAGTTCTTGATGAAGCATAAACTTGTCATTTAATATGATGACAAATTGCAAAACTTCTTAATTCTGAATTACCTAAACTTTAAAAAAAAAAGAACATAGAGTGAGTGGAGTTATGTATTTTTAGGAGTGTTTTCCATTTATAGTAAAATGTTCTTTTTACAGAACAGGTGAAAACTACTACCATTCCTTAGTAACAAAAATTATAAATTTACCCAAGATAAATTTTTGGAAGAAGATTTTTATACTTAAATATGTTAGTTAGGCCCTGGCCGGATTGGTTCAGCGGTTAGAGCGTCCGCCTGCAGTCCGGAGCGACCCGGGTTCGGTTCCCGCTAAGGGCACGTACCTCGGTTGCAGTTTGTCCCTGGCCCTGGTTGGTCGTGCGGGTGGCAGCCACTCGATGTGTCCCTTTCACATCGATGTTTCCCTCTCTCTCTCTCTCTTCCTCTCTCTCCCTCCCACTCTACCTGTACAAAAAATGGAAAAATGTCCTCGGATGAGGATAAAAAAATAAAAAATAAATAAAAAATATGTTAGTTAGGAGAGTAAACATGCCAGTGTTCTCTCTGATTTGTAATTACCTAAATTTAATTGCATATTCTGTAAAATCACATAACAAGCTTGCAAGCACCAACTAGATCTCCTTAACCAGTTATATTGACTTTGTTAAAGTGTTTTTATTTAAAAGTGGGAATTTTTCTTACAGTATTAACTTTGTAACTTTGTCTTTTTTTAAAATATAGGTTTAGTGAAGATATTAGAACATTTGATTGTTCACTAAACCCTGGAATTGCTTACAAATCCCAGTCTTGTTTATTTATAGTATTTTAAAAATATTATCTTTTTCATAGGATGAATTATCTGTTTTATAAATACATGTAAAATTTCTTTCAAAGTTTCCCTTCAAAACTAAATATTTTTAAATGCTCAGTATCTTAATTTAAGTATGAACTGGCACATCAGTCCCTGTCTACCCTATGTTTAGTTGTAATTTTATTCATTGGATTGTTTTGAAATTGTACTGTCCCTTCTGTAGCATGTCCCCACTATTTGTTTATGCTTATGGTTTTAGTAAAGTAGGTTTGACTTTGTAGTGTGTTTTCCCCTCTTGAAACTAAAATTGGTGATGAATTCAGTTTTGCTAGAAAGTAATAAACTGTATTTTGAAGGTTTGACTTAGGAGAAGCTGGATAATTTCATAAATCTTTCTCTTGTCTGGTTTACTATAGTCTGCATTTTGAATTAAAGTTTCCATTTATTGTGGAATAATATCAAATAATGTATTTAAGATTTCTTGGCTTTTAATTAAAGTTTATTTTTTCTATACTCATTCACACTTTGATGAGTATTTAAGTATATTTCAGATGGAGTGCAAAATCAAGGTGATATTTTAAAAATTTCTATGTATAGGCATATGTTAACAACGAACACAACAACACTATTAAAAGCTCATTTAAATTAGACTACCTAATTGCCTGTATCTTTAGATTTGGGTCTCTTTTATATAAGTGGTTTCACTAAGCTGGAGAATTACTATTTAAATAGTGATAAGGTTGATTTATAAATGAACTTCTGCCTTTGGGTATGTGGTCCATATTTTTTTCCTAAAAGTTTCTTCCTAGTTAGCAAAAGGAAGAATAAAAGTGTGGTTCATTTATGGAAGGCGATAGAGTGAGAGAGAAGTTATTCAAATGGATGGGTGAAATGATAAGGCTTTGAACTCATTTCAACTTGTAAGTTAATTACCAGGTCATTTTATCTGAACATAAGCATGATTAGTAATGGACAAAAGGAGTATAGGTATGTCTGTAGACAGGTGTTAACAGAGACTCACAATCTGAATTCATTGAAATGTCATCAATTGTTAACAGTGTCAAATAGGACTAAATGTAATTTTGTATTTTTTTAATTACTAAAATTAACAGAATACAGCACTGATTTCTGCAGTTAACATTTTTTTCTCCTTGAACACTAGACTTGATTTGTGTTCTTATTAACTTTGTCCTATAAATGACCTTGCAAGGAGAATGATTCTGGAGGCTAAGTAAAACAATGTCTATATTTTCTGAGGCTTCAGGCTAAGTTTTATTAATATAATGTCTAAGATCTTTGAAGTTGTGACTTTACCAGGAAAATCATAATCTCCAAACCTTTATTCATAATGGGTATGACTTCCAGGGGGAACAGAATACCTGCTGTGCTAATTATTTCAATTATCAGCCTCCACTAAAACACGTAATGGATTTTCTCTGCTTCCACAGGTAAAAAGCATGACATTACGGAACTTAACTCTGATGCTGTGAATTTGATCTCCCATGCAACACAGGAGCGATTACGAGGCCTTCTAGAAAAACTGACAACAATTGCTCAGCATCGAATGACAACTTACAAGGTAAAGGAAATCATTTGAGAAGTAAAGACTCTTCTTTCTCTTCTTTGTTATGTTCAGGGTAGTTTTTTGCTATGGATTTTTATTCTAAGTATATTTTTAAAGAAAATGGTTGAAACATATTTTATATTGGTAGAAAATCAAAGTCTCATTCCTAATTTGCCTTATTTAGATTCACTTACATGACAAATAAAATTAAAGTAGAGTTTAAAATGGTATCCAAAGCTTCTATGTAAGTTTAAATTAAAATATGCATCTGTTCTGCCTGAGGCCTCTCTTCCTAAAGCTTTTGATTGGGAAGATGTGTTAGAATGGAATATTGTATAGTTTGGTTCACATCAGTGATCTGTATGTACTCTGCTAACACTCCTATTCCTTTTAGTAAGTCGAATGATTGAATTGAATGTTAATACTGGTGCCACTCATGATCATTATTGACTACTTTTATATACAAAACAATTAAATACAAGAACAGCCTGTCTGTTCATAATTGTGTGAGCCAAATCACTTGCTATTATCATTATTTGAATTATGGTTTGAGGGGGAGAGGTGATGAATGATAAAAAAGAAAAAAGATAAACCTTTCCCCCCTATATCAAGAAATGTTTATGGCTAGGTTTTGTACAACATGGTATGTGGTTAACCTCATGAGGTTTTGAGTTTGTAAGAATGGTCGTTGTGATGATGTCCTAGCCATAGTTAAAAGGAATCCAGGGCAATATTAGCTACCATACCACTGGTAAATGCCCTGGAGGAATTGTATTTTCTCTCCTTTCTGCTTCGTTTAGAACTTTGGGAGGGCTATTTATATTGTTGCTGAGGTCCTCACTTGTATAAATCTTTGTCAGAATTTGCTGGACTGACTTAAAAGTATGTGATCATCAGAAGAAAATACTTTAAAGAAAACCGATATCAGTATTTCTTTGTGTATGTTTCTAGAATTTTTCTGTTTCTTCATAGTATTCTCTTATTCTTTTTATTTCTGTAAGGTCACTAATGATCCCACTTTAACTTTGATTTTAATTCCTTAAGGTGTGTAATAAGTAAGTTACTGATTTGAGCTTTTCCTTTTTAAATGTAGGCATTTGCTGCTATAAATTTCCCTCTGAGCAGTGCTTTTACTGCATTAATAAGTTTTGATGCATTGTGTTTTTGTTTTCATTCATCTCTATTTTCTAATTTCCCTTGAGATTTCTTTGATTTGTTGCTTGTTTTACAGCAGCGATTTTCAACAGCTAATATTGCAAAAAATTTTAAAACATGCAATACTTGTCTCTTTAGTCAGGGGCAGACTGCTTTTCTCTTATTGTCAAATAAAAAAGTGACAACAGCTAATACAGCAATAGCTGTCTGATGTGAATGAATAAAAATTGCACCTATTTTTTTGTGTCAGATCGGCAAAACATATATTTTTTGGTGTGCCACAGAATTTTAGTAATTAGTTTATGTGTGCCATGAGATGAAAAAGATTGAATGTCACTGTTTTAGATTTGTTGTTTAATTTCCCCATATTTGTAAAGTTTTCAGTTTTCCCTTTATTATTGATCTCTATCTTGCCTGATATTAGTATAGCCACCCCTGCTTTCTTTTGGTTATTATTTGCATGGAATATCTTTCTCCATTTTTGCTTTCAACTTATTTATGTGCTTCCATCTAAAGTGAATCTCTTGTAGACAGCATATTGTTGGATTATGTTTTTTATCCACTCTGCTAGTCTTTACCTTTTCAGTGTGGGGGTTAATCCATTTACATTTAAAATAATTACTGGTAAAGAAGAATTGCTATTTCACTATTTTCTGCACACATTATAGCTTTTTTCATCTCTTATTTCCTTTGTTACTGCCTTTTTTAATTTGTTTAATTGATATAGTTTTTGTGTACTTCTCATTCCCTTGTGTGTGTGTGTGTGTGTATTTTTTTCTTCTTCTTCTTCTTTTACAGCTTAAATTTTTTTTAAGATCCTCACTGGAAGATATGTTTATTGATCTTAGAAAAAGAGGAAGGGAGAAAGCATGAGAGAGAGAGAGAGAAGCATTGATGTGAGAGAGAAACATCTACCAGTTGCCTCTTTCTTGTGCACCAACTGAACCTGCAACCTAGGTATGTGCCCTGACTAGGAATCAAACCTATGACCTTTTGGTTTATAGGACAACGCTCCCACCAACTGAGCCACACCAGCCAGGGCTTTTGTGTATATTTTTAAAGATATGTTCTTGGTGGTAACTTTAGGGATTACAACTAATATCCTAAATTTATAATATCCTAGTTTGAATTGATAACTGTTTACCTTCAGTTTGCAGATGTGAGTCAGTTACTCTTTTTGGCTTTTTACTATAACTTTTAAAGAGTCTTGTAATTTTTCGAACTTGGATTCTTTCCTTTCCTGCCTCAATCACCCTGTTGTTTCAGAGATACATAGTGCACTTTTGTTTACAATGGGTAGTTTCTATACAAAATATAATATGTACAATTTAGTATGGAATAGAATTTTTTCAGGTAGAGTTTACTATTCTGAGTGGTATCCAAAACTCTAGTGTGTACAACCTTTAGATGGAATTCTACTGTATGTCAATAGCATATGTTCCAAGAATTTAGTTACCCTTTACAAAATGGATAGTATCTACCTAACTTGGAGCCTCCCTGAATAATTTAGCTTAAAGCTAATACCTTCTTAACTTTCTGTCTTGTACACTCCTATCCTGATTGATTTTCCCCTTCTCATCTTTCTCCACACATTCATGAATACAGTTAATGCCACTGTGTGAATTTGTACATATAAAAAGGCAGCTACATTATCATCTTTCTTTAAACAGGAATAATAATCATTTAGTTGTATTTGGATCTACTTCAAAATTATACTTATTTTGTAGACTTTGATTGTAATCATCTTTGCGTCCTGTTTGGCCCTGTTTTTATATTTCAATTAATCCCTGATAGGGTTTATTTTTATCTGTACAGTGTGGGAAATTTTACTTCATGAATTTTATAAAAGCGATCTACATTTATTAAAAGAAAAATCCCACTATTTTTTCCATTTGATAGCCATCTACTTTAGATAATCTTTCACCTGGTTAGATAGAATTCTCTAATCAATCACAGATACACTAAGATTTCAGTAAAGAAGTAGAAAGTGACATTAGTTACAAAGCTTTTGATCTTTCTGCCAGGTGTTTTCCCACTGAAGAAAAACTATAGGCTCCTGCATGTCAGTGGCTATGGAGAAGCTTCAGTGTTTTCCAATTGAAGGGGACTGTACAGTGCTTTCTTTAGATTGGATTCATTTGATAGTGTTATCATTTGGTCTAGGTCCTTACATTTTCATTGCTAAACCACCGTACTCTGTGGTGCATGAAGACTTCAGTTAGGTCACTGGGCAGATTAGAAGAAATGTGAGAAGACTGGCATACTGTTGTTTAAATAAGGCTGGGGACTCAGTAAGAATAGAGGGTGCACTCATTTGTATGTGGAGGAGTATAGGAAGAATTCGTTCATTAAGCCAGAGGTAGTTGTATTCAAGTTGGAGGAGAGAGAAGGAATTCAAGTTGGAGGAGAGAGAAGGAATTATAGCATGGGAATGAGATTGAGTTAAAGTTTTGAAAGTCTGTGTCCCTTTTTAAGTTATTGTGTATTGTCTTTTTTTAAAAAATTAAATTGTCAGGCCCTGGTCAGTTTGGCTCAGTGGTTGGAGCTTCAGCCCATGGACCAGAGTCATGGGTTTGTTTTCAATCAAGGGCACACATCTCCGTTGTGGTTTGATCCCCGGCCCTGATTTGTTCCTGTGGGAAGGAACCAATTGATGTGTCTCTCTCACATCAATGTCTGTCTGTCTGTCTGTCTCTCTCTCTCTCTTTCTCTCTCTTCTCTTCCCTCCTTCCCTTCTTTCCTCCCTCCTTCTCTCCCTCCTCTTTCCCTCCCTTCCTCCTTTCATCCCTCTTTAAAAAAAATTGTCAGTAAAATTATCTCCAGGATATCTGAATACAGAAATGGTAAAGATGAAGTATTTAAAAAAACACTGGTTATTATGTTTGTATCTCTATTGTTGGCCTATAATGTATTCCATATTCTATCTTGTATTATCTAACTTTAAAAGCACTTGAGAATTCTTTTTGTATTACACACGAAGTAAAATAAGTAGCACTAATACATCCTTGTTCATTATACTATGTAATACTCTTTTGATCTAGTTAAATACCAACAATAAAAATTTAATTTAAAAAGAATCTTGGACATATGAAATCTCTCAGTCCCAGTGAATTGAATCAGCCATAAGCATGGGATAAAAACAATCATGTGCCTGTGATTTACAAGCCAGGCACTGACTGTTGGACTGAATGTTTAAAAAACATTCCATTTTCCAGTTATACAATCTCCCTCAGTCCTTCTCCTATAGCTTGGATGTCTGAATTACTGAGGTGAATAGATGGCATGATGTATTAAGTACAGATGAAGAAAATAACACAGTAGTTAGATTGGAAAGCACTGTTTTATACTCTAGAATATCAGAATAAATAAAACAACATAAATTTTATCATTTTATGGAACAATTAAGAGATAATTATACTTATGTTATGGCTCTCATTTATAAATTGTATACTTATTTTTTTTTACTGTAGGTCTGGCCAAGTTCATAGCTTAAGGAAATCCTCAAAACAGGGTTTAGGATCTTAATGTTTGCCATTTTATCTTATGTTGTTATTTTGATGGAAGTTGTGTTTACTTGACAAGGTTAGAGCAATCCAACAATGGAAACAAGGGTGATAACTTTCATCTTTGGTATATTTTTCAGTGAAGTGATTGTTTTTTGTGTTTTGTCTTTCACAAGTCTAAGAGTTAATCATATTAAAGTCTGTTCAAATAGGCAATAATTTAACTAAAACAATTTAGATTATAGTTCAGTGTACACTCTGTTGCTTTCTACTTATTGATAGAGAATCTGCTTTGCTTAATTCTCCCCACCCATCTCCAATGAAGCTTTCTGGGAAAGCTCTTTGAAATTTAAATGCTTAATCACTTCTCAAATTTTAAAGGTAATTAAAGTTCTTTTATTATTAATTTGTTTAACAGAAATAAAAATAGTACTTCCTGACAATTTAGTTCTCTGTGTGTGTTGCTATTACCACCTTTAGCTACTTTATCACAATACCTAATGTAGAATATGTTGCCTAGGATCATCATAAGACTTTTTTTTTTTTTTCCAGACAAGTGAAAATTATATCCTGTCTAGTGATACCAGGTCACAGCTCAAATTTCTTGAAAAGCTGGATCAGTTGGAGAAGCAGAGAAAGGATTTAGAAGAAAGAGAAATGTTACTTAAAGCAGCCAAGGTAAGGTTCTACCTGATTTATGAGTGAACATGGCCTGGCAAGGAGGTCAAAATTGGCTTTATCATTGGTTGATTGTCTTGGTTTTACTAGGCCTTCAGATTACTCTGAAGGATTTCTTAAAATAAAATTTCTCACACCCAGGATGGTATGGTACAGTGGCTTTCATTTAATTTAGTTTAGTGAGAGATCTTTTGTCGGCTCGGTCTCAATTTCTGTGTGCCCAATAACATCATACCTACCACTCTCCCCCCAAAAATATTTTATACAGTTTTCATGGCATTTTTAACCATATAATTGATATGTACCAAAATGAAGTTGAGAGAGGAAAATTTGGAAAGTAGACAGGCAGGGCATGAGTAAAATTAAGAGTGATTAGGCCTGGCCCGTGTGGCTCAGTGGAATGAGCATTATCCCATGCACCAAGAGGTCACTGGTTTGATTCCTGGTCAGTACACATGCCTGGGTTATACAGGCCCAATCCCCATTAGGGGATGTTGCAGGAGGTAGCCATTCAGTGTTTCTCTGACATCAGTGTTTCTATCTCTCTTTCCCTCTTTCCTCTCTCTTTCTAAAAAATCAATAATATATATATATATGTGTGTGTGTATATATATATATATATATATATATATGTATATATATATTTTAAAAAGAGTAATTAGGATTATATAGAACAAAATATAGGATTCCAAAATGGGTTAGAGAGAGAGAGAAAGAGAGAATAAAAGAGAGAACTGGTGAAGCTATCATTTATTTTCTTTTTTCCTTAAACATTTTTCTGTACTCTTAGTGCCAGATGGAATGCAGACTAATTCCATTACAGTTTGCATCTTGTTGCTCCACATTTCTTTGCAGGTCTAGGGCCTTTGTGCATAGTCTTGAAGTTTGGACACTAGTTTTATTTTGTGTTTTAAACACCTTAGTTGAATTTCTAGTGTTTTTGGCAGCCACTCTTTTTAGAGTATTTGTTCCTAATCACATATGAATAGCTCTTTAGAAACTATTTATTTTGACATTATATCATGCTTACAGAAAAGTTGCCAGAACTATAAAAAGAACTCTCATCTCCTTTACCAAGATTCTTTTTTGGGGTGGGGTGGGGGGGAACTTGAAGGCTGGCCAGTGGTAAATTATGTTCAGTGAGACAACACTAGACCAGTACTATGATCCCAACTTACTCTTTGGCTACATAATGTTCCAGATTCCACATTTTTAACATTTTACTGCATTTGCTTCATCTCCACCCTTTCTTCACACACACACACACACACACACACACACACACACACACACTATCATTCTCTATATGCAATTCAGAGGGTTTTTGTTTTTGGGTGGGATGTGTGTGTGTGTGTGTGTGTGTGTGTGTGTGTTAACAAGGCTGTGCAACTGTTGTCTCTAATTAGTCTTTTTTCGGAACCTTTTATAAAAAATTTATTGGTTTATATACATAGAGAGAGAGAGAGAAAAAAAAAACACTGATTTGTCATTCCACCCATGTTTATGCATTCATTGGTTGACTCTTGCATCTACCCTGACCAGGGATTGAGCCTGTAACTTGGGACAATGCTCTAACCAACTAAGCTACTTGGCCAGGGCCCTAAACCTTTTGAAAGCAAGTTTCATACATGATATCCGATCACATCTAAATATTCCACTATGTATTTGTGAAAACAAGGTCATTCTTTTGCATAACCTTCCAAGTGAAGATGTGAACAATGTAATACTACCATCTAATCCCCAGACCCCTTCAGATTTTACCAGCTATCTCAACTCTGTCCCTTTTCCCTTCAAGGTCCATTTTCCCATTCAGAAATATGTGTTACATTCAGTTACACCGTCTCTTTTCAGACTCCTTCAGCAGATTTTCTTAGTCTTATTTAATCCTCACCGGAGGATATTTTTCTATTTATTTTCAGATAGAGTAGGAGGAAGGGAGGGAGAGAGAGAGAAACATCAACGTGAGAGAGACACATCGACAGGTTGCCTCCTGCACGACCCTGACCAGGGCCGGGGATAAACTGCAACCGAAGTACGTGCCTTTGGCTGGAATCGAACCCACGACTCATTGGTCCACAGGCTGACACTCTAACCACTGAGCCAAACCAGATAGGTCCTCAGTCTTTCTTTTTCTTTTATGTCTTGGACAGGTTTCAGTAATATAGACCTTACCTTCTGTAGGCTGACCTTCAACCTGAGTTCATCTGATATTTCCTCATGACTTGACTTACATCATCCATTCTTGGCACGAATAGGTAGAAATGATGTTACATTCTTCTCAGCTGATCATATCAAAAGGCATCCTTTATCACTTAGTTGTGTGGGTGCCTACTGATTCTCTTCATTTTAAATGAAGTGAGTTTTTCATAGGAAGGAATTCCAAGATTATATATATCAGTATATCCCATTCCTCATCAAACCTCTGCGTATCAACTTTAGCATCTATAGATGATGTCTACCTGAATCAGCCACCTCTGTGATGTTGTCAAATGGTGGTTCTTTATTCTCATCATCTCTTCTATATTTATTAGCACTGTACTGTATGGAAAAGCTTTTTTTTCCTCTTATTCATTCATACATGCATTCATTTATATCAGTATGGGCTTATGGATGTCTTTGAGTCAACAGATTGTAATCCATTACTATCATTTATTTTGATGTTAAAATTGCTCCTGAGTGGTAGACCCTTCCAGCTGTCAATTCTGTCCATTAGTCATGTCTCTATCATTCATTGAACATGTCCTACTATCTGGTACAAGATATTTCAGACCCAGCTTTTACTCTTCCTCCCTAGCCCTGGAATCAGCCATTTCTCCAAGGGAATCCTGCATCTTTATAGTTGAAGATGATATCCAGAACCAAGTAGAGCATTACAATGTGCTCATTGCTGATGTGGTTTCATTACATGTAGACCCTCTCAGTGGACAAATATAGAGAATACATATGTAGTATTATATATGAACATATGTATGTATATATATATAATCATGCATTTGTATTTCTCTATCTGTGTGTATATATTATAAAACCATGAGTTTATATGGATACCTCCAATTGCAGTCAATATCTTAGGGTTCTTTCTAGACTTAACCTTTCTGTGTTTATAATTACTTTATCCATAGTCAGAAACTTAGTTCTCATTATCCTCAATGTATTTACTTGTGTCCTAAATTTGGTTTTTTGATCAATGTAATCTCTCAAATAGCCATGCTAGCTGACTCTTCTTGTCTTCTACTACTCTGACTACTGCCCTCCTTTCATTGTCCATGTAATTGGTTTCCATCCCACTGGCCCATGCCTTGGTGAGTCTCCCCAAGTCTCCCTCATCACCCTGCATTCTTGGCCACTGATCTATACCTTCATGTGTCCCAGCTGCCCAAAGGGATGTGGGGCACCACAACCTTGTCATTGTACAGTCTCCCATTATTCCACAGTCTCAGTCCCCATGCTGGTTCCTCCTTTAATGGGAAGGACAGCTGGGAGAGGAGTATGTTCTTCCTTGAGCCCTCAAGCATTATGAGCAAGCACATAGACAGTGTAATGAAGTGGTTTATTGGTATTTTATTTCTAATTACTAAGCTGTAAACAAGGTCACAAACTATTACATACTTGTTTATTTATTATTAGATATATTATACTTGCTCTCACTCTCGGCTTTTCCTCCTCTACCAGACTTTTAAATATGGGAGTGTCCCAGGATTCAGTCCTGGACCTTTTGTCTGTCTGTATTCCCTTGTAAATTTATATTTCCAACTCAATTTACATTTTGGAGCTCTGGACTCATAGCTAACTGCCTACCTGAAATCTCCACTCATTTGGCCAGTTGACATCTCAGATTTAATGTGTCCAAAAGACCTCTTAATTTTCCTCCCACTCAAAATGCTTCTGACCCTTACAGGTTTTCTTATCTCAGTAAATGACACCATTATTCACTTGGTTCAAGCCAAAAGAAAAACCTAGGAGTCATCTTTAACTCTTCTCTCCTCTCACCTAGTGTATTCTGTTTCTGAAATGTATCTGCCTTCTCGTCATCACCATTGTCACCACTCTAGTCTAAGTCATCTTTCACATGGACTTTTATAATGTCTTCTAACTGATCTTCTTTTTCTTCTAACAACCTACTTTTGTTTGTTTTTTTATCCTCTCCCGAGGATACTTGTCTATTTATTCTCAGAAAGAGTGGGAGAGAGAAAGATGGAGAAAAAGGGAGAGGGAGAGAAACATCTATGTGAGAGGGACACGTCGACTGGTTGTCTCCCCCACGGCCCAGAATGGGGCCGGGGACAAACCACAACCTAGGTACGTGCCCTTGGCTGGAATCAAACTCATGACTCATTGGTCTGCAGGCTGATGCTCTACCGCTGAGCCAAAATGGCCAGGGCCTAACAATCTACTTTTTATACTATCTTAAGAATAATAGTGTCACAATAAGTCATGTGTGTCTCTTGCTTCCCTTGCACTAAAATAAAACCCAAACTTCTTACCAAATTTGAAAAGGCCTTATGTGATCTGACATCCCCCTCCCTCTCTGAGCTTGCCTTATATTGCTCACTTTTTCACTTACTCTGCTCCAGTCACACTGATATTTCTTTGATTGTGCCAAGCTTGTGCCTCCCCACTCTCCTTAGGATATTAAACTACTTATTAGGCATCTAAAACTGAACATTTAGGGGAAGTTCCCTTCCCCTAAATCTGCTGTGGTCTTTATCCTCTCACAAAGTTGGAATTATCATTCACCCAGTTGTTTAGGACAGAACCCTAGGAGTCATCCTTGACTCCTCTCTTTACTTATAGCCCTATATCAAATCCATCAATAAATCTGGTTGGCTGTACATCCAAAATATATTTAGAATCTAATCACTTACCATCATCTTCTCTGTGACACTAGTCCAAGCTGCCCTCATCTTTTTTTCCAGTCTTATATTCACAACATTTGTATTAGAACAGTCTCCTAATTGCTCTGTGTGCCTGTGCCTCCAGCCTTGGATCCCTATTGTATAACCCCTACTACGTAGCAGCCAGACTGCTCTTTCAAAAGTGTCATGTCAGTGGCATCTCACGCCTGTGCTCCAGACACTCTAGTAGCTTGTTCTTGTAGCTGAAATTAAACCCCAGTTCCTTACGGCCTACAAGGCAACACATTGTCTCCAACCTTATCTTCCTCACCTTTTCTCTGTGCTCCAATGACACACACAGATTTGCTTTCTTTCCCCAAGTATGCCAAGCTTATTCCCATTTTAAGTTTTGGCAATTACTGTGCATTCTGGTTAGAGTGTTCTCCCAGATCTTTGCATGGCTGCCTCCTTCTTGCCATTCAGATCTCTACTCAAATGTCACTCCTCAGAGATGTCTTCCCTCCCATGCTAGCTAAACAAATATTCCCCCTTTTCTTTCTGTCATATTTTATTTCCCTTATAGCTCTTGTCACTATCAGTAATCATTTGTATTTTATTTTCCTCATCATAAATGTTTTACATATTATGTGTATTTAACTTTTATAAAATTATTTTATTATTATTTTTTCTTAAAATGTAAGTTAACTTGAAAGCAGGGACTTTGTCTTGTTACTTTATTTCTGTATCTCCAAGGCCTAGAACATACAGAGTAAAATTTGTACTATGGATAATCAGTAAATATTAGTTGACTGACAAAGACTCGATGCTCAAATGTACCTATTTTATACTGAAGCAAAAAATTACACGCACACACATACATACATATACACACATTTTTATATAAATATATAAATATATATATATATACACTCATTCTCTTATAATATTGTAGGTAGAATAACAAAGGGGTTTGTCTTAGTTTGGGCTGAAGTGAAGTTGTTTTAGTAGATTGGGGACACAATGAAGAAAAAAATCACTACTTTTGGGTAGAATTTTAGGGTAGGTATTGCATTAAGGTATTGAGTTTAAAATTAGAAGGCATTGCCATGGCCGGTTTTGCTGCTTGACCAATGAGTTGTGGGTTTGATTCCAGGCAAGGGCATGTACCTCCTTTGGTTGGGGTCATGCAGAAAGCAACCAGTCGATGTGTCTCTCTCACATCAGTGTTTCTCCCTCCCTCCCTCTCTATCTGAAAATCAATGGAAAAATATCCTCGGATGACAATTAAAAATAAATAAATAAATAAATTTAAATTTAATTAGAAAGCACTCTTAAATCTAAGCAGTTTCTTTCTTATCCTTTCCTTGAACAAAATACTGATAAATCAGTAAACCTATCAGGTAAACTTAGTGAAATAGGAAAATACTTTTAGCTTTGGTTTCATTAGCTATCTTTAATTAGCTGATGTTACATTTTATAAAACAAATATACAGATGTATAAGGAGTTAGATAGCTTTATTAGAATGAGAAGAAGGGCATATCTGTCCCAAGCATATTTTTCAGTGGACCAATATTCATGATGTCAGAAATCAAGTTCTTTACCCTTTGTTCCATCATAGCATTACATATAAAAGGTAGCTCTCCTCTTAGCAATTCTGTAAGATTATTTATTTTTAGAATGTTAAACTGGATCAGTGTGGAAAGTGACATTTAGCAAACATTTATTGAACATTTGCCTGTGTATGATATTATGTCACGTGCTATAGAACACCCAGAGATGATAAGATACTCTAATGGAAGCATTGGGATCTATTTCCTATTTAATTTTTTAAAAATTACACTTTTAGAAAGAGATTTGATTCAAAGCTAGTCAGATTCTTGATTTTTAGTAGTCCTTGAAATACCATATTTTTTTTCCAAAAATTGTTTTACCTAAAGATTAGCCAGTATTGCTTGTTTGCGTTCATTTAAGCAAACAATTAGCCTTTTTTTCCCCTTCGTCCATACCATTTGTTTTTTAGTTTGTAGTGTTCCAACAAGAACAACGTCATGCCTCAACTGGACCTGACTGACAATGTTAGCATCATTTTCAGTATAAACTTCCTCCAGGCTAGAACTGCAGCAGCCGGCCAGACAAGAGAGGGAGGGGTAGTAAGGGAGAGAGTACACAGGACTAGATCGAGGCATTTTCCCCTGGAGCTAAGGTTTTCAGTCACAAGAGAAAATTGTCATTTATTAAATATTTAACGGCAACTATGGTGTTTAGATGTTAGTAATTTCTATTAAAATTTTTTTTCCCTTTGATAGAGTCGTTCCAATAAAGAAGATCCAGAACAGCTGAGATTAAAGCAGAAAGCCAAAGAGGTAGGACTTTCAAGTTACCATGTTTGTCTTTGTGTTTGAGGGAAGGCTGGCAGCTCTCTCCTGGCAATTAGGTCAGGGTTTATTTTGCTGTTGCATACCATTTGCAGAAGCCTTGGGGAAGGACAGGAACTGCTGAAGGCAAGGGCAGTACTTCAAATGAGGTCAATGAGTGATGTGCTCTCTTTTTAAAATTTATTTTCAAGGTTTAAGTCTGTCTAGAAATGGCTCTTTGTAAACTATAACAGCACACTTGGAGGAATATAATGTGGGATTAAGAAAAAAAAGTAACTTCTGAGATTTAGCATCTGGGACTGTACAATAGGCTACATTTTTCCAGGGTAATTGTTCGTTTTGTAAATCTGATACTGCTTATAATTCTTTGGCTGGGAGGCGGTACTGGGATTTAGTTTTAAATGGAAAATGCCTCTGGCTTTTAATTTTCTGGGCCCAGCAGTTTTCTGTTCTGGAATGGAGCCCTTGTTTCACACAGTTCATGTTTAGCTGCAGGGGTTTTAGTTTATAGCTTAGACTGGTTAAGCTTTTACTCCCAGAGGCCTCTGCATAGCAACTGTAGAAATCAACAAATAAGTTCATTTATGTCTGCAGCCTCCTCTCAGTAGCTGACTTTTTACATTTCCCAATATCCATTTCCTGACTTTTCTAGCCCCAGAGAAAAAAGCTCCACTAATTGGAGCTTATTTTAATTGAGCCTTAATATTGGATCTCACTGGAGTTGCCCCCAGAGCTGCTGAGAACAGAAGGAAATGAAAGTACCTAAGGTTGAAGATGTGGTGTGTGTATGGGTGTGTGTGTGTGTGAAATTTTTCACTTGACCTACAGATTCCTTTCCCTGCTGAATAAATCATCAAGCCTGTTCACATTTCTGATTAAGGATCTGACAGCAGACAATAATAAAGACAATTGAGGTGTGAGATGTGTGATATGAAGCTGAAGAAATTGGTTTCTATAGTTACTTGACTGATTTCATGCAATTTTAAGGATCTTTGTGCTAAATAAGAGTGATTTCCTGAGCAACCTTTTTCCTTAACTGTGCCTCTTGAACTATGAAATTTGTTGTTGCTTAACATAGCTGCACTCGACTCCTAGGTGCCAGCAGCAGCAGGTTATTTATGAATGTTTTAAAGGCCCTTATTGTTTGGATTAATGTAGGAGCTGAGGCAAAACAAATGGAAATCTAGTAAGAATCTTACAATTAACGTGGTTTGTTTTCACTAAAACAGAGAAGGAAAATATATGAACTCTGGATGGGAGGGTTTCTGGATTGGGGTGAGGAGAACTGGAAAGGGAGAACATTAAAAAGAATTGAAACCAGAAACATTTAATTTAAACAACAAAAAATTTCTTATACTTCTTTCTTTCCAGTAGAAAATTTATTTAAAAATATTAAATGAAAAAAATAATATGAGGACTGTACCTATAATCCTTTATCAGCAAGCTTGGCTTAATGATAGGTTATTTGGGGATGGACAACTATTATTGCTCTAAGTTATGAGTATTCCTCTTTGTTTTAATTAATGACTGATAAGATGCTTTCTTCTAATTGTATCCCCATTTTGGAAAACATACATTTATACTAAAGCTTACCCTTTTATCCTTAAAAATCCTATCTATCTATTCCTCCTTCCTAAACATCTGAATCTTAGATTAATTTTTCCTTCAGGTTTGTAGGGAATGGTTTTGTTTGGTTGGTTGGTTTTTCTTTTAATATTGTGTATAATTATTCCCTGACACATGAATTGCTGGACAGCATTTAAAAAAATAAGATTGTAAGAGTAAATATGAAAAAAAAAATACCTCTCTTAATGAGAGCAGGTGGTACCAAACCTGTTTTCTTTCCTCTCCCTTGCCACATCCATTTATTTCTTTTCCCCAGCAAGATTAAATGGATTGAATATAATTTTGTTCCAAAATATTTATAAGTTTTCTAGTTGCTTCCTATCTTGTATGCTCTTGATTTAAAAAAAGAAATACATTGGCCTCATTCCAAGAACAGAACCACTCTATATTAGTTGCAAATGTTTTATAAAAGTAAAATATTGTCATCTTGTCATACCCCTGACCCCTAGAGCTCTTAATAACTTTAGTGTTCTAAGGGACTCTAATTTAGAATCAAACACGGAGGGATACCATATTTTGTTTAGTTGCAAAAATCACTGACCTTATCTTAATATAGAGTTGAATTATTCTCTTGTATGGTAATTTGTAAGGTTATCATTTGTGATATGCTAATTGTTATCACACTGGTATAAAGTATAAGGCTTTAGTTTGTAATTGGGGGGATAGTTTTCTTTGTTCAGTTGTGAAAATTAGCACAGATTTCTTATAGTTGCTTGATTTATAACTGCTTTGCTTTCCTTTTCCTACCTATCTACCATGCTGGTCATAGAAAATATATTAATGACAGTATTTTATGAATGCAGAACTCTGAAGAACTGTTTAGAAAAGTTATAGGCTTTATTGTTGCTAGAAAATGTATGAGCAATGAGGTTTGTTATATAAATATTAGTCACAACTTGAATCCCCTTCATACATAATTTTATAATCCATGTTTACTTTCACCTGTTAAGGACTAGAATTTTGATCTTGATCATTTTCCCTGTGGGTTTTCTTCTCTCATATAGTTTTAGAGGATGTTCGTTTCTTCATTGCATTCTGAATGTAAGGACAAACTGTTAAATTTGTCCAGTTTTTATAACATGGCTAATAAATTTTTTTCATCCTTCCTATTGACTTCTTCCAATTTGTCATTCTCATTTGGCACTTAAAAAAAAATAGGCTGCCTTTAGGTTTGCCTCCAGCCAAGTCTCAATCCATTGAAGTAGCTCTCGCTACATACTGCTCTTACTGACCTGACAGGTTATCTATCTATTTGAAAACCTTATTATTGTTTGGTTAAAATGTCTGTGGATATCCCTGTAATTCAAACATTTTAGTTTCAACTTAGGGCTTTTCCCTTTTTTCTATTTTCACCTGAAAAAATATTGTAAGCATTCTGTCTATTGTAACTTTTTATTTTAAATACTGATACTTTTAAATTTTGATTTAAAAATATTTTCCTAGATACCTTTCCTGAAATGTAAGTACATTTCACCCTTTATTTGAAAAAGGTTTAAATTGATTACTAATTGCCAAATTCTAATTTCTAACAAGCAAGCACATCTTTGTTAAATTTAGCACAGACTTGTCTGAAATGTATGCTGTGTGTCGTAGATTACCATCTAGCCCTCAGTGTTTTCCTTTCTTACCACATCATCCAGAATTCCTCAGAGCAAATCATCTGACCTTGGAGTTCAAACATCCTGATTCCTTACGTATTTGTTATATATATATTGCAACCCTTATTTCCTTTTGAATATCTTCTTTCTCCTTTGGGAGATGTGAGTTGAGCGCATCTGGGCAGAGTAAGACAAAGAATTCATTTACTTTCTTTTTAACAGTTCCTAGCATTCCCACTTTCATTTGTTATCAGACAGTAAAAGGAAGAAAAAGGAATGTAAGACATACCTGCTGACACATTAGCTTCACAGTGCAACCTGTAGAAACTAAACAAAAGAACAGTATTGAATGATTAAAATGCATAACAGATTAGAAAACTTGTACCCTGAAGTATTTAGGATTTTTGTTTGTAGAAAAATAAGGTAATACAATTCTTCATGATGTATTTTTGTGCAAGAAAAAAGATAATAAGGCTCATTACTGATCAGAGTAATATATGATTTATATATGAAAAAGGCAAGGGATATTCTTAGAACCAAGTTTTATTTTTTTTATTTTATTGATTTTAGAGAGAAAGGAAGGGAGAGGGAGAGATAGAAACATCGATAAGAGAGAACATCGATTGGCCACCTCCTGCATGCCCCCCACTGGGGATTTGGCCCACAACCTGGCATGTGCCCTGACTAGGAATCAACTGGCGATCTCTTGATGCGTGGATTGGTCAACCACTGAGCCACACCAACCAGGCCAATTTTTTTTTTTTCATTATTAATTTTAGAGAGAGAGCGAGAGGGGGAGAGAGAGAGAAACATCGATGAGAGAACATCTACTGGCCACCTCCTACATGACTCCACTGGAAATTTGACCCACAATCTGGGCATGTACCCTGACCAGGAACCAAACCAGCAACCTCTAAAATACAGAGTCAGCCTGGCCGGTGTGGCTCAGTGGTTGGGCATCGACCCATGCACCAAGAGGTCACAAGTTCAATTCCCAGTCAGGGCACATGCCCAGCTTGTGGGCCAAATCCTCAGTGAGGGGCATGCTCCAACCAACTGAGCCACACTGGCCAAGGCCAGGGATTTGTTTTTAATGGATATTTTTATAAGAGACCCTTATTGGTTGTATCTCTTGATTGGTATGTATACCTTACATAGAAAAGATAATATTTTATCTAGAACTTCATCAGAAAGTTACCTGCATCTTTAATTTTGAAGTCTAGGATCTCTGTGTCTTGAGAGATGTTACCCTTTTGGTAGAAGAGGTCGAGGTGCATGTTATTTAAAAAATAGCATTGAACTAGAAGTCTTGAGTTTTGGATTCTCAATTCACCCTGCCATTATCTAGATACACTTTGGGGAAGTTATATCAACTTCTTTGAACTTACCTTGGTTATCTTTCTTGTGTTTTAAAAAGAATGTAACAATGCATGCTCTGCTAATGTTACATAGCTGTTGTAATTTAAGGCAAAGTGAGGGGTAAGAGGAAAACCAGTGGCCTAAAAACATTAGCTATAGAAACATTTAAGATAGATTTCACCGAGTTCTTAAATATAAGCTTGCAATTGACCATGCTGTGTTAGTGGTTTCTTTTACATTCCAGAGGACTGGAAAGAAGAATCAGAAGAAAGAATTTATGGTGAGAACTAGGGAAAAAAAGTTCTGTAATCTAATATGAATACAGCACAACATATTTGTTTTAAACAATACATAAATCACGTATTATGTTTAAGTGAAAGGGAGAAAGTATCTAATTTGGATTAT